ACGTAGGGAGTGACGCTTACTGTTTCAGCCAATCAGCAGCTCACCGGCGGCACAGCAAAACCGTGACGCCCAGTGGTAGAATTATTCTAGAAAAATGGTCCAAAAATGCTCCATCATTGTGATTGCACAGCCTTCTTGGTGTCTAAGATAAGAAACTGTACCCTTCTGAAAACAGTCTTCACCATTACACACCTCTTTGTTCAGCCAGGGGCATTACATCATTTGACATTTTAACATACTGTATGAGCTCAGTGTGCAATACACGGGGTAAAATACTTTCAAAACTGTCCAATGATCTGACCTAATTTTCCTGACCAGAAAGTATACATTATCTTCTACTGTAAATATAATACAAATATAAATGTAATCCTGGGGGTGGTGATGACGCAGTGGATAAGACGCATGCCTTTGGTGTCCACTGTGAGACACCAATGTATCCCTGAGCAACTTAACCCCTAGTTGCTGTAGTCGAGGCGAGAGATAACCATGGCCTGCACCACAAGCTGGCTGGCGTACTGAGTAAGATAGGGCCTTACGTTGTATAGAGGAAAGCGGCACAACATGGTCTGAAAAGGACAGCTGTTCATGACACGCAGGTTTCTCACCACCCTGGTTGGAGTCAGATTGCTTGGCTGGACTGACCAAGAGTTCAATCTTAGAGAGGTTTAGTTGAAGGTGGCAAGCCCTCATTCATGCAGATATGTCCGAGAAATGGTCCATGAACCGTGGGGTCGTCTGGCGTGAAGGACAGGTAGAGTTGCATATCATCTGCATAGCAGTGGTAAGCCCACAAATTCTGATTCTGAGATAGTTTTAAAAAATATTGTTAAAATTTGATCTCCAGACCTTTAGTCCCTAATATAATCCTACACTTCTCATAAAGTAACTCACGGTATATTTATTTCAAAACATAGTTACAAGATTCAAATTTCTTTGTACAGTCATATTATGTTACAGTACAAATAATGAAACTACATTGTGTATGTCATGTTAGTCCTACAGCTATTGCAGTGCTTATAGTATATTATATCCTTTCTTTACACAGTCTATTCATGTGAAACATTTATAACATTTTATTTCAGTTCTTGTAAATACAAAAAGAAAAAATCAGTTATGATAATACAATATATGATACAAACACAGCCAAGTAGCCATGAAGCGATGTCAGATACACAAGGACACTTCAAAAAGTAACTTACATGTAGCTGACTTTTCAGTGTTAACAAATGGTTAAACTGATTTTGCTGTCTTCCAGTTAACATTTGCGCAAAATTCATCCTTACTATATAAACTAAAACATTTATTTTTAAACCTCTGGTGGAACTTGTGTATCTGCCTCTACATTGAAAATGCCAATAACTTCCATTATAAAACAGTACCATTTCTCACAACAAAGCTAACTCATACATTTCAGCTGACCTTGAATTAGTTCATTTACATTATCTGTGAAATGCAGAGCTGAACAATATATGCCAGTGTATTAATATATTTCAGTTTGAGTAGAGTAAATTACTTTTGTCCCTGAAAAAATGCCCCTGTCCCTTCTGAAACTTCTAAATAATGCAATGAATGACTTTTTAAATTTCTTTTTCTTTATCCTTCTTTTGTCACAACATTACTGCCATCCCTGAAATGTACAGGCACTGCCATACCTAACACACTATAGGTCTATTATCTCCTGAGTCCTCCATATCTGTTATGTATTAAAGTAGATGATGTGACACTTTATTGTACCCTTCCCTGCTTTGATCATTGGGATGGAGGCGAGGGTGCAAGTCAAGGATGGAACTGAAACCCAAGTGTCTTTCCCATACACAGCACAACTGGGGCTCTCATAAGCTGGAGTCTCTCTCTGAGACAGGACAGTAGCCATTTCTGGTCATCGTGGCATCTCCCTCAGGAGCAAAGATGACCAGTAACCTCTCCTGCTCTCTCTTGGTTTTGGGTAAGCCGTCAGATGGTGTGATGAGCAGCTGGATGCGCTGTGGAACAAAAAAAGTTAGCCAGCCATTGACCATCTTTATTGAATGAATTCCACAGTGGGGTGTGTTCAAGTAAAGACTAGGTTCAGGGGCAAAGTTCACAGGAAGTCTGATTTATGACCAAGACCATAACTGGCGCACATATCCTTTCATTTCAGACTGTAAAAAACTTTAAGGCATCAAAGGTGATCTCAGAATAGACTGACGCCGAAAATTTCAAACTAAACATATCATCTGAGGTTAGTAGGTGTGCGATAAATCTGATAACCGCTTTAACGATAATAAAGAGTTCTTTAAAGGTCAACACTCAGGCCTACCTCTCTGAGTGTCCCCTGGGTGGTGCAGATCTTGTAAACCATCCAAAGCGGGATGCAGACCATGGAGGAGAGAGCGAGCAGCCAGCCAATGACATAGCCCCACCATGGGTACACATACTCATTGTTGTACTTGAGAGGAGTGTATTTTATGAGGGAGAAGGCAAAGGTACCCTGGAGAGACAAGTACACCGGTGTTACTGGTGTAGAAATGATTTCTTTTGATTTCTACAAGAGGAGAGAAGACTTCGGTTTCTGTCAGCCTTTGTCATTTTTGGAAAGCCTTGATGCTACTTAATTAGTTTGTTGATACTCACAATGCACGTGGCTGGGGTGAAGAACAACCAACAGTACTTGATGTAAGGTCCTGGGCGGTAGCCAATCATGTCCTCAATGTTATCATAAAAGCGATCTGCACCTGGAAAAACACAGTGAAGACATTTCTCTCCACGATGTGCCTTGAAAATTGTTGCGGAATGGGAAGGTCGGCCAGTGATTAGGGTACATATTTAAAGAAAAAAATGTCTCCTTCATCACCAAGGAATGAAATCCTTTTATGTTGTTAGGACAGCTTACCATAGACCCATGCAATGCAGACAGTCTCAAAGATGGACATGAAGAGAAGACACATGCCACTGGCTGCATAGTAATCAAAAAGCTGGAAGACATACATGCCCCCCTACGAAGAGAGAGATATAAAGTATTGAGTCATAATTATACTAATAATAATGACATATATATGTATATATATAGTAATATAATAGAATGAACCTGCTACAATCTACTGGTTTTCACACATAACAGATTGACAGATAATTAAATAACCCAATGAGCTGAATTGAAATTGAGTTCAATTTATGCTGTGTGTGTTAAAAAAAACTACCTCCCCCCACACACAAACTATAGGGAAATGGATTATAAAGAGGAAATAAGCTAATTCATTTATTTATTTGTGATCATACTAAAAAGGCATCTAGTTATGGGACTTGACCGACTCATCTCAAGTCACTTTGCATGTGATACAAAAAAGAGAAAATATTGTAGTAGCAGACTTGCCAGGCTTGAAAAATCAATTCTACTCAATTTACCCAGTATAAATTGGATGTCTGAGGTGTCTATATTCATGTGTGTGGAGAGACTGTCAGGGGGAAGGGGTCATGTCTGTGTCAGGGAATCATTTCATGTGACAACAATGACAAAGTATGCTGATGAGATAAAGCACCAAACTGCATTGTAGGGCACATTTAGCAGACATTACAGTGTTTGCAGTGACTACTACTTTTTGTCTTTTGTTTTATTAGCAAAGATACAATGTTGACTGCATTTTAAACATAGTATTTTTAATAATTTAAATATTAAGAATAATGCAATATTAAGAATAAAAACATCTATAAAAGAGACTTGAAATGCTGAAGACCACAATTAGAGACTTCAGGCGTGACTTCGGCGTTGCATAACAACACTTGAGACTTACCTGAGACATGCTGCGTAAAACCTTTGACTTGCTTGTAAAATGATGACTTGTTGACACCCCTGCAGAGCATTTATGTTTCCAGCTGTGCAGAGGTGAAACCATGTCAACTATGTTGGACTCCGTAATAGTTTATTTCAGCAGAACAAAGCATCAAAACCACCAGGTGCAACCCCCACCCCATCAATAGCCTGATTTGAGTGAATGTGTTTGTGTGAAACTCATTTCATTAGTTTCAGTGGACATAGTTAAGGACCCTATACAATGAGGGAAAACATCTTAGGTAATGAGATTTTAAGACACTAACTATACAAAATGCCATGTAAAACTACAGGTGAAACCAGAGTTTCTGCTTGCAGATCTTTTTCTCTGTGCATGCATCTGTGTGTGTGGTCCCAGAGTGTGACCCTTACCTCCATCAGCATGATGAGGCCCATGAAGAAGGAGAAGAGGCTAACAGCTAACAGGAAGAGCTCCCTGCGGTTTTTACGTCGGAACAAAGCAGGGTACATGTCAACTACCGCGGTCACAAGGCTCTCGACACACACAAACTGACAGGAGATGTGAGGAAAAGAGGGGGGAGAGAGGTAAGCACAGGAAAATGAATGAAACTCTGAAGGAGTTTCATTCTTGGCATGCCCTACTGCCTCAGTAAACATCAGCTCAGTAAAATGTATCCCTAAAAACATCACAAGTAAAAAATCAAAATAAATAAAAACAGTTAAAACAAGTCTCTCTAAAATGTCTAAAAAAATTTTGTCAAGTCACACCGTATTTGTTCAGTAATTAGTGCCATGTGTGGAAAACAAAACGTGTTCCTACCTGGCTGTCAAGCCCCAGAAAAACAATCATGATGAAGAAGAGGGCGGCCCACAGAGGAGAGAAGGGCATCATGCTCACAGCTCGGGGGTAAGCTATGAAGGCCAGGCCAGGACCTAAAGAGACCAGCAAAAAAATGTAAACTGATCAAACAAATACTGCTCGTTCCTTATTTCTTTTTAAGTGAAAGTGTACGTGAATGTAATGTATGCAAGCCTCACCAGATTCTGCCACTTCTGAGATGGGAACGTTCTGTTCAAAAGACATGAAACCCAGGATGGAGAAGATTGCAAAGCCTGCCACAAAACTGGTGCCACTGTTCAGAAAGCACAGCGCCAGGCAATCTCTGCAACAGACAGACAATGCTTCATAGAAATGTAACAAATTTGCTGCAGGAGAAGTGGCATCATTAAGCTTGATCACATAAATCACACCTGACGATGAGGCTGTTAATGACGATAAAGGTGATGGCTGCTTTTATTCTATTTCCATGGACCACTTAGGATTTTAGTTTCAAAATGAAATGTTTTCTATGTCGGACCGTGTAAACATGTACTCTTGTGAAAAGGGGCTCCAGTGTATTGAGCATGAAATCACACATGCATGTAGATATGTTTACCTACCTGTAGCAGTTATTGTTGTATTTGTTGTAGCTCCCCAGAGCAGTCAGCGACCCCAAACAGATGGCATAGGAGAAGAAGATCTGGGTACCAGCATCCATCCACACCTTACACAAAAGAAAATGACAAAAAAAGAAAAGAAAAATAACTAAAACTGAAACTAAAGAGATGGTAAATTATGTATAGCCAATGGAATGCTCAAATACTTAGGTTGATGTATATGCACAAAAGGGCCATGCAGTGATTAGATAGTCCAGAGGAATTCAAGTGCTGAGTGTTAGCATAATCATTAACTATTGTAGTTGCACAATAATAAACTGTTATAAGTCTGTTATTGGTCTTGTTTGTGTAAAATAGCAAAGGGAATAAAGCGCCAGCAATAATCAGGCTCTGGTTATAGAACGATTGTGATCCCTTAGATTAGACCAGGGGTTTTCAAAGTGTGGGCCTCCCCAGGGGGTCTCCAAGCAGTTTCAGGGGAGGCTCAGTGAAACAATATTAAATTACTTATTGCATTAGTTATCAAAAGGAGATCACATAGAATAGCCTACATGTGTGAGAGTTCAGAGATACAGTTGTTTTTGGGAACTGTTTTCCCCCCATTAGAGTCAGAAACTAATAAATTCCTTAGGACAGACCTTTTTTAAAACTATTTGGTGTAGTCAGAAGTTATGTCAAACAGCAATATTTTGGCTGATTTGGCTCAAATGTTGAATGTCTATGGGATCAAATAATATAATCATGATCCCATAGACATCCAAGAATTGAGCAAAACTTACTAAGTAAACTAATAATGTGGTCGGAGGGTGCTGATTTACAAGCTTTATCTGAGGGCAGGCCCGCAGTCTCAGACTTTGAAAACCCCTGGATTAGACGTGAAAGAAGTAAATTGCATGTTGAATTATTAGTTGATTGTGTTTAGTCTAGTTTGTTTGTGACCAGAATGAGGCGATGAAGTAATACTAACTAAGGTTTTCTGATTGGTTCTTTGCTAGTCTGATATGGGCCAGTTAAAACTCTGTTGTCCCCCCAGAGCTTGGTTAGCTGACTGCGGCTCAGTCCTGGTAGAGCTCGTGTTTACAGTCCCAGCGGTGTCCTGACCCTGCATTGGATCCCCATAGTTCTTGCCTCTTTCATGGAGAGCAGATGGACCCAGCAGAAACTGGGCTCCCCATCTGAGAACCATGGGATACCTGCACCTGGTGCGCCCTCGCCCACGGAGACCACATCCACTAAATCTTCTAAAGGCCCTCGCTGTTTTCTTTGAATTGCTTGAAGGTAATCATGCCACCATGATAGATTCATACAGCTGACGTACATTTTGTCTTTCATTTGTGGCTTTCAACTGTTTGTGTGACGTTGTGGTACCTGTGGGTCCGCCAGTCGTCCCAGGTCAGGATAAAGGTAGAACTGGATGCCGATCCCAGCGCCAGGCAGGGTGAGCCCTCTGATCAACAACACAATCAGCATCAGATAGGGGAAGGTCGCAGTGAAGTAGACCACCTATATAAATTTAAACAAGAAACATGGCAAAAAGAAGAAATAAATACCAGATGTCATCCATAATGTGCCCCAGGACTGCAAAACAAAATAAACAGATAAAAAGGGGTCACTTGAGCTCTGACAGAGGTGCGGATTAGCACAAGACTTTGAATCCCCTGTCACCCACCTTTCCCGTGGATTTCACCCCCTTCCAGATGCAGAAGTAGCACATGATCCAGGCGATGAACAGACACAAGGCCAGGTCCCAGTTCAGAGAGCCCATGTGGTCAATGCCTGGGGAAATCCTCAGCGCTCTTCTCCTGCAGAGACAGGGAAGAAACACAGGCATGATACATCATTGTCATTTTCACAATAGTAATGTATCGCCAAGAGGAGGTAAGGCGGTCTGAGAAACTCACTCCCAGAACTCGAGGACAGGAGATGTGATGTTGCCAGTTTGGTTGAGTGAAGTGTTTCTCCTCTGAAACTCCACACAGTTTTCTGGGGGATGAAGAGCAAAATGTCTTGAACGTGTCAAAAACATTGGAGGAACCTTGCATCTTGACGCACATTTGCTACCTGTGTTCCATGTGTTGTTGCAGGACGACCAGGCCAGGTCCCAGGAGAAGCAGAAAGACAGGTAGAAAATCCCCCAGGCCAGAACAATGATGTAGTAGAAGTTCAACAGAGTCACTATCACCTGGGTGCCATAGCCAATACCTGTAGAAATCACAATTTGGTCTATGGCGCAGTGAATTCCACCTTTATTTATATCACGGTTTCATCCCATTCATACCATTGGCTCCATACCATTTGCCAAATGTCCTACCTACCTTCAAACAAGGGACTGATTTTTCTCCAGCAAGTAATGCCCCCCTCGCTGGTGTACTGGCCCAGGGCCGTCTCCAGGAAGAAGACAGGAACGCCACAGGTGAACAGGAAGATCAGATAGGGGATGAGGAATGCACCTGAGTTGGGAAATAACAAAGCAATTGGTTACTGGTACTGTGTGTTAACATTCATCTTGTCTAACTGTATTTTCTTTATCCTATTTGGGGTCATGGGGGGTCTGAAGCCTGTCCAAGCCTGCATTAGTCAAGCAGTCAGTTCTTCAATCTAATGCAGGGCCAATGCATAGGCAGAGGAGCACATTCATTCTCATACACAGGAAGAGCTTCCAATCCATCTGACTGGCACGTTTGGACTTAGGGGGAAATCAGAGGAGGGGCAGAGTCTCTTCCTTTCTCAGATTACATATTACCTATTACAAGCTTGTTTTTTTCTCAGCTCTAATTGATATGCTGCAACTGTTTGCACCCGATCGCCTGTCAGATTAACCCGGTTTGAACAAAACTAAAACACAAAAGTAAGTCATATAGAATTTCAGAACCAGGTCATATGTCGTGTATACCTGAACATAAACTGGATTGGTCTGAAGTTTTGTTACGATATATATTCTCCTAATGAGAACAAGCACTAAAAGGTATGAAGTGCTGCAAGAAGAGGTCGAAGAAAGTGCTGTTTTCTTCAGATGCTCCACGTTGACCTGAGCCACTGCCACTCGCTGTCCGCTTTTGTGTTGGCGTCCTGTCGGGTGCCCGAGGATGTTTGGCGTGCTCAGATTTCCGCCTCTCTGCAGGGACAGCTGCTGCGAGTGAGGCAGAACAACAGCTGCCTGACCCGGATCAGCCCTGAACCCTGACCCTGCCACCCCACGGAGGGAGAAACAGGGGCGTCCATTTTAGCAGCTACATAAGCATGTCCAAAACCAAAACTCTCACAAACTCTCTGCTCTGGTTTGTTGTGTGTTTTTATTTCCCTCACCTGATTGAGTCTAGCATTGATGTGCATCTGAGAAAAAGCACTCAGGTGTTCTGTAATGGTTTATGCATGTATTTACTCTCACGTCAGCTGTCATCAATTATCTACTCATTCAGTGCATGTAAAGAAAACACTGCATGGTTGTTTGTAAAAGTGCACTATGGTATTAAATTCTTTAAGCATGGGCCTGACATACAAATAAGCTATGTCTACTCTATATGCAAATCTATTTCCCCCTCTTTTAGGTTTTCAGAGGAAAACCTAAACTCCTGCCTGGATCCACTCTGCTCATCTTCCACTCACCTCCTCCATTCTTGTAGCAGAGGTAAGGGAAGCGCCACATGTTGCCCAGGCCGATGATGGAGCCGGCGACTGACAGAATAAACTCTAACTTATTGCTCCATTGGCCCCGCTCCTCCATCTTCTCATCCGAATGGGGCAGCAGGTCCTTGGCTTGGCGGCTGCCACTTGGAAGGCCTGCTCTGGTAGCGTCTCCTACGAAACAGACAGGGAGAGGGAAAAGGATTGCTGCAGGTCATAGAAGCTGTTTGGTGGTGATTTCCCTGCCCCCAACAATTGTCAAGCTTTCCTTAAGCAGCAAGGCAACAGTGGAAGAATGTAGTCTTACTAAACACCTATAAGATCTGAATGTGTAAAATTATATATATATGGAAAAAGGAGCATGCATTCTCAGTCCTTTTTTATGTCACAAACAAGAAATTTACCTGAAAACACACATTTTGAGCTTTGTTTACATTATGAAATGCATCCATTATATTTAAGTGCAATACAATCCTTATCCATAAACAAAAAACACACAGTAATCAAACTATTTCATTAAAGAAATGATAATGAACTTAAATCCATCAGAATTGCACTGAGTAGTCAATTTGCAAAATGACTTAAAGTTACAGCTTACCTTTCATTGTAGTGATCTGCTGTGTGAAACCCCCGTCTCAAGGCTGAAGATTTATCAGTAAATGCTCAAGTTTTAGTATTTAACATGACTGCAGTGAGTGAGTGAGGGGCGGGGGTTGGAAATGCTAAACTTAGGCCGGCCTCCACGTTCTTTCCCTCCGTCTGGCCCTTTCAGAGCAAAGTACATATATAAATAAGGTGCAACATGAGAGTCCAATAGGATGTTACTATGATCAGCATTGTGTATATTTCTGCTGCAGTGGACCACTTCTGCTATAGGAACTGTATATACATTTCTTTTTTTAAATGAATGTAATGTCTCCTGTCGTACGCTTTCAGGAGATTCCTGCAAAAAGCAAAAGCAGATTTCCATTTTTTAATTAAGAGCACCCTAATAATAAAGTTTACATTTTGGGTTCCATCAATTCCTTTCTGCAATGCAGCACATCCCAATTTCATGTCTGAGGTTAAGTTAATTGACTAATTTCTTTGATTGAAGGTGCAGATCCATTCCTCACTGCTCACATGATGTACAACAGGCTAAAAGAATAACCACAGGGAAATTGTTAAAATCAGAAGGAATTGCTGTGTGAGAATGACAAATCTTCCATCATGTTAAAGTCTGACAGAAAATTGATTTCACACAGCAGTATTGCTATCTAGCGGACAGATGGAAGAAAGCCATTTTGTGTTGCCAAATCAAAAGAAATTCACAGAAATATATAAGCAGTAGTCCATAAAGCTGTAAAGCGATGATTATAAAAGGTTCTTTGTGACGATTAAGACACCAAACTACAGTTCATTCATGAATTCCACTCAGTCAGCACAACAAACAGCAGGTGATGAAGATGTAGTGGCAGACGTTATGCAATCTATTATGCACCCTTACAGTTCATTTGGTCTTGCAGCCCCTTGTACATATTCTCCCGGTCAGACTAGGGACAGAGGTCAGTCACAAATGCAGCTGAGGTCAGTTCACACTGGATTTTACTTGACTGAGTTACAAGTTCAGCCCAACCGCCCCCCCCTTTTGCGAACAGACATGCTCCTGCAAATTCACGTGTAAATCTAGAATGACTTCTTTTTCCAACATAGAAATTAAGGGAAAGTAAGTGGAAGAGTTAAAAAGGAACACCAACTATGGCATATACCATGTAATTCAATATGCAGTTCCTTATACCAGAGCTCCATAGCATGCTTCCACACCTCTCCCCTAATTGGGCTTAATGAGTAACACAGGAAGCTTAGCCTACAACCTCTCGACGACAAGGCCATAAGTCACTGTTGAGCCCTCAGCATGAATTGAAATTGAAATTCCGCACAAGGACCGAAAAGTTAGAAATCCTTCAATATACAGCCCCACTGCTTGTATTTGACTTATCCGGAAAAAAAAGATTTGTTTGCTAGATCTTTTGTTGTCTAACGGAGAAGACAAAACAAAGAATAAAGTGTGCCCTTTTCTAAGTCCTTTACAAATTAAACATGTTAAAAAAAAAAAACCCTGAGAAACAGACAGTAAAGTAAATTATTACAAAGAAAAAACATCACAATTATCAATCATTTGACTAGGAACAGTTTATTAAAGGTGAGAAAACAAAACAAAAAAACCCACAATCCATTTGTTTAATTGCTTAAAAGTATGTACATTATAAATAATTCCACTACATTACAACCATTTGTGTTTCCTAGTCTGGAGTCCTACATATTGAGATGTTACTGTCTGAAGAGCCAGGAAGAGGGCAGAGGGGAGCGGTTCAGGATGTCCAGTAAAACACAACTGGGTTCTCTTTATTTGCCTGTTTGGACTGAATACAACAGCTGGAGTAAGTGGGTGTTTGTTTCATTGTGAGTAAGTGTACCACTGAGTTGTTATTGTCCAGGGGAGGACCAGGAAGTAGCTGGTGGATGCTTCTAAACCTAAAACTGTTGTAGGAGGACTAAGTCTTCTCTGTGTAGTTAACAACCGTTCCAACATATTTTAGCACTCAGAGAGAGGACATGTCATTGTGAAGCCACACTGCGACAGTAGAGCTCTTCTCTTCTCTGTCTTCCAGATGCAAGGTCTCATTTTTCTTGTGCTCTATGATCCAGACAGAAATTTCCCAGGTTTGTCCCTCTTCTTCCATTCATAAAGGGCTGTTCGGTCCCTCAGTCTTAAAAGCTGAGGTTAAAACGCTAGCCTGTATACTAGGTTTTGTGTTATGCTCATTGTGTGAGGTACAGTATTCAAACTCAGTCCTAGGCTGTTTATTTTTTAGCGCTAACTGCCCTGCTGAGGCTCTTGCTGCTGCTGCTGAAGTAAAGTCGCTGGGTTTAGATGAGAGGCGGATGAGGCAGGAGACCACGAGGTCACGACAGATGACGATGGCAGAGTCTGCACACCGCCCGCACCGCACAGCGACGTCGCCAGCACTACAACGCTCTCCTCAGCCACCTCCTCCACGGTCATGCCTCCCCCGCTCGCCACGGCGGCCTTCCGGGAGCAGTCTATGCAGATGTAATCCTCGTTCTCGGCCATTTCGCACGACACGCCCACGCACACCTGGTGGAACCACTCATCGCAGCCGCCGTCACACTGCACCCAGTCCACCTAGAAATACACGCAGGAAGACAGAGGCCGACACGTGAGTGAGGATTAACAGGGACAACAATGAGGCAACATTGCTGCAGTTATAGGAAAAAAATCTATACGTGGCAGTGGTTTGTCAAGCAAAACGCAAAAAAACAAACATTCGTGTATGATTTGTAACAGCACACATTAAAGCTGCATTGTTTGATTTATCTAATGTACTGCTGTAAAGCCAAAACAAAAACAGGCCAAACACTGAGGGTAGATGATCTCTGATATGTTTTACACACCACTAAACTCAACCCTAAAAAACACTGGGCCGCTTGTGCACATCTTGTAAGCAAAGCAAAAAAATAAAATGGGACAACTAAATAAGTGTACTTTAGTGTCACATATTTTGTACATGCAGCGTACAAACACGCTGAATAAGTCCACAAATAAACTTAACAAGAAGTGTTTTCTGCAGCAACACGTCACATATTGTTTATTACATTAGTTTTTCTCTGATTTTATGTCATGTTATCTATATTTCTATTTTTCTCTTCCAGGTGATCCTGTTCAAGGTTGCAGGTCCCAGTAAGCTCTGGGCTTAAGGTAGGGTACACCCTGAACAGATAATAATGTTTACTTAGTTATTTTAACATAGAGTCTCTAACATGCATTTTTTTTTAACTCAAATATCAAAACAAGCAAAACACACATCTCATGATGTCAGATTTGAACTCGTGTTCTGGATTAATTTATCAGTAGATGTTAAAATAAACAAAGAAATGTAGTCTTTAGAGCAGCACCTTCATTATTTCATCACCTCTACTCTACCCACAGAGCTGCAGGCCAACCAGCTGGCTCAGCTCTGATTGGCTGCCAGGTAGACACACAGGGGAAGGAGACGGGCCACTGGTTAACTCGGTAGACAGTCTCCAATGCCGTCTCTGAAAAGGACTGCATCGGTGTGTCCTGTTAATACGTTATGTGTAACTCTCTTTAAGGTGTTCCAGTGCTGTTATCAGCTGTTGATATTCAATAAAAGCTCCATGACGCTCATTTTGACAAGGGTTCGTTATTAACTCGGCAAACAAAAAAACAGAATCGACTGCCTCTCCCAGCATGGCAGGGATGTTTCTAAGGAGGGTCAAAAGTGTCGCCAGCCAACAACGTGGTGCTCAGACACTGCTCGTAGGACAGGACCCTGTGCTCACAACTTAACTTTTATAAGAAAAGACGGTGAAAGATGATTGAAGATGAGCTAAAAGGAAAGTCAAACCGTATTTCACAGCCACATGAAGCACTGCAGTAGAAAGTTATATAAGAGATGAAACAATTAATCAATAAGCAGATTAACAGAAAATTTAATCGTTTACACAAAACAAATCTCTGGTTTCAGCTTCTCCAATGTAAGGATTTGCTATATTTCTCAGGGTTTTGAACAGTAGGTCAGACAAATTAGGACATCTCAAGACGTCACCTTGGGATGTGGAAAACTGTGATGGGCATTTGTCATTCTTTTGAAGACCATTAATGAGTTTTTAATCTGCAGGTTACCCGAAAATGTAAATAATAATTTGTTGCAGCACTTCTTGACTCAATGTGAGCATAACATTTTACAAATTGTGTCTAATAAATACATGGCTTTAAATCAATATTTTTAAAATAATATTTAAAAACAAACAGACATTTGAGTTTTTTTTTTTAAAAAGTGCACAGTCATATGGTCGCCTTTGACCTCTGTTAATTAGTAAACTGCAGCTGTGTTTATCAATCATCTATGATCAACCCTGGTGCCTCTTTTACTGCAACAAAACCTCTTGACAACACAATCTCATTCTGAAGTGCTCAGAGTCCTCACCTTATCTTTACAGGGTCTCTGGCAGTTCTTGGCTGCACACACAGCGTTCTCATCGTTGGAATCCTCGGCCCCGGACCAGTCGTACTTGGAGGGAATGTCAAGAATCTTCTTCTCCTTCCTCTTCTCCAGCCCCTCCCTGATGGCCTCTGCCTTGGCGGCTGCCTTCTCCTTTCTCTTCCTCTCCTTCTCCTCTTTGGCTAACCGTTTGGCCAGCTGCTTCATCTCCCGGTTCTTGTCCAGGTTGAGTTTGAGTTTCTTCTTCTTGGGTTTGCCCCCAAGACCCAGTTCCAGCCCCACCCTTTTTAGTTCTTTGGACTTGGCCGGTCTCATGTCGCCCATTGCTGAAGCCCCACCGGCGGCGGCGGCAGCCATCAGCATGTGGTGGTGCTCGGCTCTTTCTAACTTCCGTTTCCTCTTCTTCTCTGAATCTTTCAGCTTTATCTTCAGGGGCTTTTCCATCAGAGAGTCGTCGGGCTGTAGAAAAGGAGGAAAAGACGAAATGAGAATGATTATTTCGATTTCTATTTCTGTACTAATTACAGGAATGTTTTCCCTAATTTGACCTCTATGCATCCATTCACAAAACTCTTCATCAGAACCAACCAAAACGATTGATTCAAACCAGCACCCAATGTTTAGATGACCTCCCTACCTCCATGACCTGTAGGAACCTCTCCTCAGACGGGGGGTGTGTGGCCTGCAGGATCCTCCAGATGTGCTGCGTCTCATCCAGAGACACCTCCAGTAGGTCTCCCAGCATCATCAGCTCCTCCAGCTGGGCCTTAGCCTGCGGTGACAGCTCAAGCACTGGCGGCTCCAGGCTGCGTGGTATCAGAGGGGTCTTCCTGGGCTGCTTCCTGGGCGTGCTCACATCTGAAATATAAATATTTTCAGCATGAGATGGCGAGGGCATTTCTGAGGAAATCAGCAAGCTGGAATCCCTCAAATGAGTGTAATTAAAATGTGTATTACATAAACAAGTGTTGCAAATAATAGCCTTGGATCATTTGTGCACAAAACAACAGGGGATTATGAGTAGGCAGACGCAAAAGCAACAGAAGGAATCTCAGTAAGTAAGTGTGGCCTCACTTTGCACACAGGACTTGGAGGCTGAGGAGTAGGCGTGTTCGGCGCAGAAGGAGGGCGTGGCAGCCGGCCACATGTGGCTGACCACCTCCTCAGACTTAACAGGAATCTCCTCATCACAGAACAGGTAGGGCTTCACCTCTCCTGGGTCCTGCAACAAAACAGAGACAACACCACCAGGACAGGTTTAGAAGAAAAAAAAAATAATTCCGGCTCACTTATACGTGGCTTGAACAACAGCCCTTGCTGTCTCACATACCTTCATGTCATAACCGTAAGTCTCCCTGATGTCCTCGTCTGAGTCGGTCTCCTCGTCGTCGTAGTCCACGCACTGGCGAGGGGATGTGGCTCTGCTGAAACCGGACTGCTGGAAAGTCTGGATGTGGCCCTGAGGAAGGACAGAAACACAAACACACAAACACACACACACACACACACACACACGCTCAATGTCTCTAATGTTTCAAAAAAGCATACATGCCATCTTCTTTATTTAATAAAAGAGCCAAATGCTTTGGCCCTTTAAAATGGCATAATTAAATAATATGCCAGAAAAAGGATATACGCTCTTTTTCAACAAAATATATACAGTTAGTTCTCTAAGCTTGTCACATCTATGAGAAATCAGGTTGCCATCTGTTGCCTATAATTCATTGCTCCTGGTCTATTTCATGTTTACACATTAGTGCCCTCTTCTGGTACATTTCATGTTTACATCCAAAGCCCCAGCGGAAGCCATAAATTACAATCCACACATCCCAAAACAAGATTCCTAGAGTTTTACTGATGTTGTACTATATGAGAATAGGAATTAGAACAATGTAAAATCATTTAAAAGTACCTGCAAGTCTGGGTTGGCAGCAGCTTTCTGCAGCTCGGCATTGATGATCTTCTCAGTTTTCTCCCTAGCAGCCTGCTCCACCATGCGCTGGCTCAGCACTGACAGCTTTGCCAGGGCT